CATAGCAAAAGACTTATATGGATGAAAGTGAAGGGATGGGAAAAAAAATTTCTCATGGAAATGGAAACAAAATCATGCTAGGGTAGTAATACTGCCATCTGACCAAATAGCTTACAAAACAAAGGCTATAACGAGATAAAGCAGGTCACTACATAATACTAAATGGATCAATCTAACAAGAGGATATAACCCTGATAAACATGAAGGACTTTAAGGGAGAGATCAATAGCAATGAAGTCATATTTGAGAAGTATAAAACACCCCAATGACTTCACTGGATAGATCTTCCAGACAAAAATATCAACAAGGAAACAGTGACCCTAAATGACACACTAGATAAGATGAATTTAATTGACATTTGGAGGACATTTTGCCTCAAAGTTGCAAAATACACATTCTTCTCAAGTTCACATGGGACATTTTCAAAGATAGACCACAATATAAGTCTCTATAAGTTCAAGAATATTGAAATCATAGCAAACATCTTTTCAGATTACAGTGGCATGAAACTAGAAATCAATTATGGTAAAAATACTCAAAATCATTCAAACACATGAAGGCCAAATAGCATCAAATTAAATAATGAATGGGTTACAAAAAACGAGATCAAGGAAGGAATAAAAAAACTTTCTGGAAACAAATGAAAATGAACACACAACAACCCAAAATCTATGGGACACAGTAAAAGCAATCCTGAGAGAAAAGTTCATAGTATTGCAGACCTACCTCAAGAAACAAAAAAAATTTCTAGTAAACTATGTAGTCCTACAACTTAAAAGAATTAGAAAGAAAACCAAAAGCCCAGAGTAAATAGAAAGAAGGAAATAATAAAGATCAGAGTGGAAACAAATGACATAGAGACTTAATAAAAAAGAAATACAAATCATCAATGTAAACAAGAACTGGTTCTTTGTTAAGATAAACAAGATTGATGAACCTTTAGCCAGACACATCAAGAAAAGAAGAGAGCCCTGGCCAGTTTGACTCAGCAGTTGGAGCGTTGGCCTGCGGACCAGAGAGTCTTGGGTTCGGTTCCTGCTTGGGTCACATACCAAGAAAAGAAAAAAAGAGAGAGGACCCAAATAAATAAAATCAGAAATGAAAGATATGAAGTAACAACTGACACCACAGAAATACAAAGGATTGTAAGAGAATATTATAAACAACATATATGCCAACAAATTGAACAACCTGGGCGAATGGACAAATTCCTAGAAACATACAAATCTTCCAAAACTGAATCAGGAAGAATCAGCAAACCTGAGTAGACTGGTAACAACTAATGAAATTGAAGCAATAATATATCAAATCAGATCCAGCAATATATTAAAAAGATTATTCACTATAACCAAATGGGATTTATCCCAGGGATGCTATGCTGGTGCAGTATTCACAGTTCAATAAGTGTGATATACCGCATAAACAAAATGAAAGATAAAAATCATATGATCCTATCAATAGATTCAGACACAGCATTTGATAAAAATCTAGCACCCACTTTTGATAAAAACTCTCAGGAAAGTGGGAAAAGAGGGATCACACCTCAACTTAATAAAGGCTGTACATGACAAACTGCAGCCAACATCACACTCAATGGGCAAAACTAAAAGTGTTTTCCCTATGAACAGAAATAAGGGGATTTCCACTTCTACCACTCTTATTCATCATAGTACTGGAAGTCTCAACAGTTAGACAAGAAGAAAAAATAAAAGACATCCAAATTGAAAAAGAGCAAGTGAGACTGTCACTATTTGCATATGACATGATATTGTACATAGAAAACGCTAAAGACTCCACTAAATGAATTCAGCAGAGTATCAGAATACAAGATTAACATCCAGAATTGATGGCATTTTATAAACCAATAATGAACTCTCAGAAAGAGCAAGTAAAAAACAATTCCAGCCCTGGCCAGTTTGGCTCAGCGGTTAGAGCGTCGGCCTGCGGTCCAGAGAGACCCGGGTTCGGTTCCCGCTAAGGGCACGTACTTCGGTTGCAGTTTGTCCCCGGCCCTGGTTGGTCGTGCGGGTGGCAGCCACTCGATGTGTCCCTTCACGTCGATGTTTCTCACTCTCTCTCCCTTCCTCTCTCTCCCTCCCACTCTATCTGTACAAAAAATGGAAAAATATCCTCGGGTGAGGATAAAAAAAAAAAAAAAAACAATTCCATTTACCATTCAACAAAAACAATTAAGATAGCTAGGAATAAACTTAACCAAAGAGGTAAAAGACCTGTACTCTGAAAACTACAGGATATTGAACAAAGAAATAGAAGAAGTATAAACAAGTGGCAACATGTACCATGTTCATGGATTGGAAGAATTAACATTATTAAAATGTCTACTCTGCCCTGGCAGGTTTGGCTCAGCAATTAGAGCATCAGCCTGCAGACCAGAGTTATGGGTTCTCTTCTCAGGCAAGGGCGTGTACCTCGATTGTGGACTCAATCCCTGGCCCTGGTCAGGGTAGTGCAATAGGCAGCCAATCGATGTGCCTCTCCCATATTGATATTTCTCTCTCCCTCTTCTCCCTCCATACCACCCGATTTTTAAAAAAAAAATCAATGGAAGAATATCCTTGGGTCAAGATTTTTTTTTAAATGTCCATACTACCCAAAGCAATTTGTAGATTTTGTGTAATCCCTATTAAAATATCAATGGCATATATCACAGATCTAGAGCAAATACTCCAAAAATTTATATGGAACCCCCCAAAAAAACAATCCATATAGCCACAGCAATCTTGAGAAAGAAGAACAAAGTAGGAGAGATCACAAGACCGGATATCAAATTATACTACAAAGCCATTGTGAGCAAAACAGTCAGTTACTGGCACAAGAACAGGCATATAGTGCAGTGGGACAGAAAAGAGAACCCAGAAATTGACCCAAGCCATTACGCTCAATTGATATGTGACAGAAGACAAAAGCATACAATGGAGTAAAGACAGTCTCTTCAATAAATGAAAATTAGACAGGTATGTATGTGCAAAAAGAATGAAACTAGATTACCAACTTTCACCAAACATAAGACTAAACTCAAAATGGATAAAAGACTTAAATATAAGTCATGAAATCATAAGAATCCTGGAAGAAAAATAGGCAGCAAAATCTCAAACATCTCACTAGCAGAATTTTCCCTGATATATATATATAGGGCAAGAGAAACAATGGAAAAATAAACAAATGAGACTACGTGAAAATTAAAAGCTTCTGCACAGCAAAAGAAACTGTCAATAAAATTCAAAGGGAACCCACTGTATGAGAAAACATATTTGCTAATGATATATCTGATAAGGGGTTAATTTCCAAAATTTTTAAAGAACTTACATACAACTTAACAAAAGGAATTCAAACGACCCAATCAAAAAATGGGCAGAGGACTTGAATAGACCCTTCTCCAAAGAGAACATACAAATGGCCAAGAGATATATGAGAAAATGCTCCTCACTAATCAGAGAGATGCAATTAAAATGACAATAAGGTATCAATCACCTCACACCTGCCAGAATGGCTACCATCAATAAATCAACAAAGTGCTGGCGAGGATGTGTAGTTAGTGACATCTCTACATTTTACTGTTATTTTAAGTAATATCAACATTTGATGTCTTTTACTAAACAGGGTGCTTTCAGGGAAAGCAAACATTTCCCTACTGGTGGTGTCTTTTTTTTTACACTTTATTACTGACTAATACTTATTTAATGTTTTTATTATTTGCTTCCAGTGTTACCCTTTTGTGCTATATTCTCTTCTCTCCCCAGCCTGCACAGACTGGCAGTGACTGACTCCAGGAGGCATAGGGCCTGCTGTCTCCTGGTACTGGGGAACTGCGGTTTCAAACTTACCTTTTTGTTGTTGTTGTGAATCCTCATCTAAGGATAATTTTTCCATTGATTTTTAAAGAGAGTGGAAGGTAGGGAGGGAGCGTGGAGAGAGAAAGAGAGACATCAATATGAGAGAGACACATAGATTAGCTGCCTCCCACATGCACCCCAACTGGTCCGCTAGGGATCAAATCTGCAACCCAGCAGTGCCTGGGCTGATACTCTAACCACTGAACCACACTGGCCAGGGCCAAACTTACCTTTGGTGACTTACTTTTCCTTCTGGACTGCCCCTATCCTTTCATTTTAACCTATTATAAATGTAAGAATGAGGAATGAGAAGAACAGCCAGGAATAGCATCTTAAGATTTACAAAAGGCATCAGAGCTTTGATGATCATATTTGCAGAATTGGAAATTGAGGAGTTTGTCCTGAGCAATTGAGATGTACTTAAGGGTATTTGAAACAAGCTATTCTCCCAAATTTAGGACAGTGGCCATGTATTTTGTATTTCCAAGGGGTATCTTGGTGTATCTCATTAGGCAGATGTAGTAAGTCAGTGTATATCCTAATGTGGAATTGTAGAGTAATTTTTAACAATAAATGTAAATTAGAATAATCTATTCGTTCTAATTGTTACTTTAGCTATATAATTTTCAAATAAAGGCCAAAAGTGAACTTTTCTAATTTCCTAGGCACTTACTAAGAAATTTATTCAAGCATGCTTGAATTTCAACAAGACCACTTGATAACTAAACCAAAGATTAGTTTGGCTTCCTTACTTACCCCAAGCAAAATTAGTCTCCTCTTTGAGGTGGTGAGAGGTGGGGTGTGGAGAGAGAAATAAGTGCAAATGAATGAGGAACACCAGGGGTAGGTTGGTCTCCTGGATTTCTGGGTTTGCCTTTTCTTCTCTCTCTCTTCACAAACCTACGTATTACAGTCTTTTTTATTTTTGTCAATCTATAAACAGAATTTTTCACTTTTAATTTGTGTTATGGGATCATCTTTCTCCCGGGACAGGTAAGGATTTAGATTCAGTGTAACATCCTTTGTGGATGTATTCATAGCTCTGCTGTCAGTGAATTGCTTGACGTGCTTCAGAGAAAGATTCTATTGATTTTATTTATCTTTACTTGAGAAAAGTACTAATGTGTTTTGTTTTTTTCCCTTTAGTTGCTGATCATTTGGGCTGTGATCCTCAGACCCGTTTCTCTGTCCCTCCTAATATCAAGCAGTGGATTGCCTTGCTACAGAGGGGAAATTGCACATTTAAAGAGAAAATATCACGGGCTGCTTTCCACAATGCAGTTGCTGTAGTCATCTACAATAATAAGTCCAAAGAGGAGCCAGTCACCATGACTCATCCAGGTAAACAAACAAAGGAAGTGACAGATTTATCTTTGCCTCTTAGAAATCATTGCCTTATAGGTAGGCATTAGACCTCTGCTGAAACCATGTCATTTTCAACATAATTCTGTGATTATATTTACTTTTGGTATTACCATTTTGTCTTTTCCCCTTAGTTGAATTTTCTTCTTAAACAATGACCACAGGAACCTATATAAAACTTGCACTTACTAAGAAACTGGTTGTGATTGAATCCTTAGTTATTTTACATTTCACTTGGTAACTTTGAAAAATAATGTATTGAATTTGGAATAATTTGTCTAGGTATGTCATAGATTCTCAAGGCTTACCTATTTGAGAAGATGCTTTTATCTTGTCAGAATCAATGTTGAAAGTGACTTAGTTATTAGCATAATTACAGTAGGAACAATATTATTAATTTATTGCAGAAACATTTAGGATATTTCTAATGTAACTGTCTTAATAACAGTAGTTGCAATTTACTGCCAGGCACTATGATATGAGCTTTTTGGGTTTTGGTTTTTAATAGACTTTATTTTTAGAGTAATTTTAGTAATAGGAAATGGCTTTATGTTATAATTAGATACATAGAAAATTGTGGGAAAGTAAATTGGTACAATACTTTGGAGAGAAATTTGGCTCTATCTGATACTGTTAAAGAGCTCATACATTGTAGTTCTTGATATATGCTCTAGAATACTTTTAAAACTTTGATGTGCGTGTCAATCACCTAGAATCTCATTAAAATGCAAATTCCGGTTCAGTAGGTCTGGGGTACAGCATGAGGTTCTGTGTTTTTCATAAGTTTGTAGGTGATGCTAATGCCACTCTGGTCCCCAGATCTTGCTTTTAGAAACAAGGTCGGTTTGGCTCAGCAGTTAGAGCATCAGCCTGCGGTCCAGAGAGACCCAGGTTTGATTCCCGCTAAGGACACATACCTTGGTTTCAGTTTGTCCCCAGCCCTGGTTGGTCGTGCGGATGGCAGCCACTCGATGTGTCCCTTTCACATTAATGTTTTTTTCTCTCTCTCTCTTCCTCTCTCTCCCTCACACTCTATCTGAACAAAAAAAAAAAAGGAAAAATGTTCTCTGGTAAGGATTAAAAAAAAAGAAACAAGTAAGTAAAGACAGGATACATAGGTTTTAATCCCAGATTTTCCACCAACTTCCTCAATTTCATAAGACAACTTGCCTCCTGAGTAGGAAGGCCTCTTGTAACTAAATCTTATTCTGTAGCAGGTCATGAATCTCAGTTGTGGAGGACAACAACAGAAAATCTCTCTTTTTTTTTAGTCCTCACCTGAGGACATTTTTCTATTTATCTTCAGATAGAGTGGGAGGGAGAGAAAAGGAAAGAGCGAAAACTATCTATGTGAGAGAGACACATCAACTGGTTAACTCCTGCACAAACCGGACCAGGGCCAGGGACGAACCGCAACCAAGGTACATGCCCTTGACCGGAATCGATTCTGCAACTCATTGATCCATGGGCTGACACTCTAACCACTGAGACAAACCAGCCAGGGCACAAAAGAAAATCTTTATGTACTGAGAATCACTTGCTTTTCTGGCTCATTAAGATGTCACAGCTGCTCTTACCCTTCTTTCCTGTAATACAGCGCTGTCCACATGAGGATTAAGGATGCTTGCATCAGAGCCACAACCCCCACAACTCTTGAGGAGTGGACCTAGAGATCCCTTTTAAGCCCTCCCTTGTTCACATGTCAGTTCTGTCTGCCCTTCATTTGAGTAAAGAAACTTTTGTGCTATGCATTCTAATATGAACTGGTAAGGGTTGGGAAAAAAATAGACCCCCCCCCCCCCCCATCATGCTCTCATTGAGTTTACTATCCAGGGCCCCAGCAGTTTTTAGATGGCTTTTTTTTTTTAAATCCTCACCTGGGGATATTTCTTCAGTTATCTTCAGCTAGAGTAGGAGGGAGAGAGAGAGAGGGAAAAAAAATCATTGACGTGAGAAAGACATATCGACTGGTTGCCTCCCACATGACCAGGGCCAGTACCCTTGACCAGCATCGAACCTGCGATTCATTGGTCTGTGGGCCGACGCTCTAACCACTGGCCAGGGCCAGATGGCCTTTCTTTTTGTATCTCTTTGACAGTACTGTCCTTTTCCTTTTATGTTGTCATTATTTGTATACTTGATTAGCAGTAAGGAAAGTATTGCAAGTTTCTTTAAAGTTTGTGTCTTACCTTTCTGTTCTCTGCAGTAGTCAGCGGAATGCCTGGAACAAAATAAGTATGTCCTGCACTGAAATTATTTCATAAAGACATAGAGTTTTGTTAAGCTTTCTTTCAGTTTAAGAATTTATATTATGCCCTGACCGGTTTGGCTCAGCGGTAGAATGTCGGCCCACAGACCAATGTGTTGTGGGTTCAGTTTTGGCCAAGGGCATGTACATGGGTTGCAGTTTGTCCCCCGCCCTGGTTGGGGTCATGCAGGAGGCAACCAGTTGATGTGTCCCTCTCACCTTGATGTTTCTCTCTCTCTCCCTTTCTCTCCCTCCTACTCTATCTGAAGATAAAGAGAAAAATATCCTCAGGTGAAGATTTAAAAAAAAAAAAAGAATTTACATTATGCCTGGCCAATGTGGTTTAGTGGATTGAGCGTGAACCCATGGACTTAGAGGTCCCAGTTTGATTCTTGGTCAGGACACATGCCTGGGTTGCAGGCTCAGTCCCCAGTAGGGGGCATGCAGAAGGCAGCTGATCGATGTTTCTCTCTCACATTAGTGTTTCTGTCTGTCTCTCCCTTCTTCTCTCTCTTTAAAAAATCAATAAGCCCTGGCCAGTTTGGCTCAGCAGTTAGAGTGTTGGCCTGCGGCCCTGGCCAGTTTGGCTCAGCAGTTAGAGTGTTGGCTCAGCAGTTAGAGTTTGGCTCAGCAGTTAGAGTGTTGGCCTGCGGTCCTGGTTCCCCCAAAGGGCATGTACCTCGGTTGCAGTTTGTCCCCGGCCCTGGTTGAGTCGTGCGGGTGGCAGCCACTCAATGTGTCCCTTTCATGTCGATGTTTCTTTCTCTCTCTCTCTCTCCCCCCCCTCCCTCCCACTCTATCTGAACAAAAAAATGGAAAAATGTCCTTGGGTGAGGGTAAAAAATTTAAAAAAATATTTCAATAAAAACATTTTAAAAAAAAGAATATATGTTATGCCCTGGCCAGTTTGGCTCAACTATTAGAGTGCTGGTTTGATTCCTGGTCAAGGACACTTACCTGGGTTGCAGGTTCAATTTCCTGTCCCGGCTGGGGTCATGTGCAAGGCAACCAATCAATGTGTGTGTCCCTCTGTCTCCCTCCCTTCCTTTCACTCTGTCTAAAAAAAAATCAATGGAAGCCCTGGCCGGTTTGGCTCAGCAGTTAGAGCGTTGGCCTGTGGTCCAGAGAGACCCGAGTTCGGTTCCCGCTAGGGGCATGTACTTCAGTTGCAGTTAGTCCCAGCCCAGGATGTGTCGTGCGGGTGGCAGCCACTTGATGTGTCCCTTTCATGTTGATGTTTCCTCTCTCTCTTTCTCTCTCTCCCTTCTGCTCTATCTGAATAAAAAATGGAAAAATGTCCTCAGGTAATGATTAAAAAAAAAAATCAATGGGAAAATATCCCTGGATGAGGATTAACCAAAAAAACAAAAAGAAAGAAAGAAAATATATGTTATAACTAATTTTCAAATTCTGCATTGTTAAGTAAGTAAAATGTATTTTGTTTTCTTGCCTTGTCAGCGATGTTTCAAGAGGTTGCTCATGTTTGTTCTGGTTCTAATCAATGGTCTTCATTTGGTGACTGAAAGACATTTCCCAATGCAGTGTCTGTGACATCATTGATAGGAAAGACTGCTCACTTTGTGGTTTTATTTGTTGAGCAGAAGTGAGTTAGTATTGCAAAGGGGAAGGTATGGGCTCTTGGATAGTTTAAAATAATGCACATTTGTCTGAAAGTTAAGAATTTATTTTCCTGATTTAAAAAAATTTATTTAGACTTCACTGTTATAAGTCTTAAATTGTGTCAACTAATTGTTCAATTGAAAATCTTTTTTATAGTTTTATTTATGTCTGTAAGAATCTGTGATATTCTCGCCCTGGCCGGTTTGGCTCAGTGGTTAGAGTGTCGGCCTGCAGTCCAGAGAGACCCGGGTTCAGTTCCCACTAAGGGTCCATACCTTGGTTGTGGTTTGTCCCCGGCCCTGGTTGGGTCATGCGGGAGGCAGCCACTCAATGTGTCCTTTTCACATCGATGTCTCTCTCTCTCTCTTTCTTCCTCTCTTCCCTTCCCACTCTCTCTGAACAAAAAATGGAAAAATGTCCTCGTGTGATATTCTTTTCATTGTTTAAAGAAAAGTGAGGTAATTTAGATAAACATGTAACCAGTAATAATAATGTTGCTTTTCTATATTTTTATCAATCAGCAGTATCAAATGTTTTTTATTGTTTTTTTCAGCTGGTTGAACAATTACTTGAATGGCTTTTCACCTTTTTTCAATCTTATTTTCTTAAATGTGTTATCTAGCAGTAACTAGAAAATGTAGAATATTCACAAAATAAATATAAAAGTCACACTTTATGAAAACAAGATAAATCACAAACACTTTGCAAAACACATTTAAGTATCAATAATTTGGGCCACTTAATATAAATCTATTACCTTTATTCTAAAAGCCCATTAAGAAAATGATGATAGCTTGGCTGGTGTGGCCCAGTGGGTTGGAGCTTCATCCCATTCACACCAGAGGGTCATGGGTTTGAGTCCCATTCAGGGCATGTATTTGGGTTGCAGGTCCGATCCCTTTGTGAGGCCACCAATTGATGTTACACTCTGCCCCCCCCCCCTGGTCTTTCTCCCTTTTCCCCTTCCTCTCTTCCACTCTATTCCTCTCCCTCTCCGTCTCTGAAATCAATGGAGAAAAATATCCTTGAGTAAGGATTATAAAAGAAAATAACATAATAGTGATACTATACTCTTTAAAGTTTTTAGGTTCTAATTGGATGTAGATTTAAT